CATGGGGGGCAGCGGGACACGGACAGGGGGATGGATCAACATAGTGACATGGGGGACAGGGAGATGGATGGACATGGGGACATGGGGGACACAGGGACAGGGGGATGGATGGACAGGGGGACATGGAGGACATGGGAACAGATGGACATGGGGGACACAGGGGCATGGGGGACACCAATATGGGGACATGAAGAAGGCAGAGACACAAGCACATGGGACTGCAGGGGCATGGGGGACACGGGGACAAAAGGAAAGGGGGGACATGGGGACATACGGACACAAGGGACAGGGAGACACGGGGATATGGGGACATGGGGCACAGGGACACAGGGGATACTGGAGACAGGGACATGGGGAGCGGAGGACACACAGGGACAGGGGGACGGATGGACACAGGGACATGGGGGACAGGGGGACATGGGAATGGATGGACACGGGGACATGGGGACATGGGGGACACAGGGACAGGGAGATGGATGGACAAGGGGACATGGGGGACAGGGGGACATGGGAATGGATGGGCACGGGGGACACAGGGGCATGGGGACACGGGGATCTGGGGCACTGGCACCAGGCTGCCCACGCCGCCGTGGGGCCACGTGTCCTGGTGTAAATAACAGGGAGGGCTGTGGCTGTGGCATGTCACCGGGCGGAGGGCCGGGCACACACCGTGACACATGTGCCTGTGCCGTGCAGCCCCGGGGCAACCGGCGTGGCTGGAGCTGGCCGCCGGGCTATTTTTACCTGGCCCTGCCGGCACCATCGTCCCCGTCCCTCCTGCAGCAGCCCCTGCCAAGGGGTTGAGGACAGGGACGGGGTTGGGGACAAGGTGGGCAGAGGCCAGCCCTGTGCCGTGGGGAGGGGACAGGGACCCGCCACCCCGCTCTGACCTGGCCGGTGGCCTCGGGGCGCCGGGGGCTGCCCTCCCTGGTGGCTTTGGGGTGCGGGTCGGCACCGGGATGGACGTTGGGACAGGCAGCTGCTGAGCTGTGGCACGGCACAGCATGGCACGGGACAGCCATTCCTGCCCCACGGCATGGCACGGCACGGCCATTCCTGTCCCATGGCAC